CCAGAGGGGCTTTCAGCTGGGCCTCTTCCCCACTCACAGTGGTTTTCCCAAGCCCTGGGACTGCTGTGCTGCCCACAGCGTTTGCCAGCTCCTCCGTCGTGTCCCCCCACCCCCTGCTGTAGGCTCTGGGGTCCTGACCCTCCAGCTGATGGTCCCAGGAGGAACCTTGTACCTGCTCCTGTGGACCTGAACGCGCCCAGCTGCACGTCTGTCCCTGCTGCTGCTGGCTGTCCTCACGCGGGCAGCGCGCTGCGCTCTTGGAGGAGACCTTCTCATCTTGGGGACAAAGGAAGCTCCCCTGCAAGCCTGTCTGTCCTCCTTCCGAAGCAGGAGTGTTGCCTGGCTGGGGGAGGGCACTTGGGCAAGAGCCCCAAACCAGCTGCCAGGAGGAGAACGCCAGACACAGGCACACAGCCACCAGGACACAGCAAACTCCCACCAGGCAGGAACAGGTGTCTCACAGTTCAGGGACACACCCCGCTGCACACTTAGTGCTCTGGGTTCCATTTGTGACTAGCCAGTGCCAAAAATACACCAGCGTCTCTGGTGCTGGCCTGTGCCTGCGCAGCTCAAGGCTTGTTTGGTTTCTCTCTGGGTGTCCCCCATTGAGTAGGCTGTGCGGGTAGGCAGGAGCTGGGACAGCCAAGCCAAACTGACTCAGCTCCATTCCCTGCGGGGTCATGCTTTGAAATAAAGCCTCGGTCTTTGGTTTAACCCTGTCAGCTGAAGGTTCCCATGGGGAAGCAAAGGGGTGCTGCCTCTGGGTTACACCATGCTGGGGCTGGGGCTGCATGGGGCTTTGGCTTGCTCTGTCCCTCTGTCTCCACATTGTCATGTGGAGCTCCGGTCACCAAAGGGGCTCCAGGCATGTGCCAAGGGGCTGCTGCGTGCTTCCACCCTCAGTGAGAGGCATGAGCACCCAGGACACCGCAGTGACTCCATATGGGCTGGCCCGTGCACCCCAGTGACTCCTCTGGCATGAGCCAGCCAATTCCTGTGAATCCATGCGTCTCCCGGTTTAGAGAGGGGCATGGATTTCATGGATGGACCGCTCAGTGGATAATTAACTGGGTGGATGGCCACACAAAGACAGTTGTGGTGAATGGCTCAATGTCCAGGTGGAGATGGGTAACAGGTGGTGTCCCTCAGGGATCAGTGTTGGGACCAATTCTGTTCAACATCTTTGACGATGACATGGAGAGCGGTATTGATGCGCCCTTAGCAAGTCTGCCGATGACACCAAGCTGTGTGGTGGGGTCGACACACTGGAGGGAAGGGATGTCATCCAGAGGGACCTAGACAGGTTGGAGAGGTGGGACAGTGCAGACCTCATGAAGTTCAACAAAGCCAAGTGCAAATTCCTGCCCCAGGGCCGGGGCGATCCCAGGCACCACTATGGGCTGGGCAGAGACTGGATTGAGAGCAGCCCTGAGAAGAAAGACTTGGGGGTGTCTGTTGACAAGAAGCTCAAAATGACCCCATAGTGTCCATTTGCAAGCGAAACACCAACCGTATGCTGGGCCCCATCAAAAGGAGCATAACCAGCAGGTTGAGGGAGGTGATCCTGCCCCTCTGCTCTGCTCTTGTGAGATCCCACCTTGCAGTGGCACATCCAGCTCTGGGGCCCCCAAGCACAAGAGGTACATGGACGTGCTCAAATGAGTCTAGAGGAGTCCAAGAAGATGATCACAGGGCTGGGGCACTTCTGCTATGGAGACAGGCTGAGAGAGTCAGGCGTGTTAAGGCTGGAGAGAGAAAGCTCTGCGGTAGCCTTCCAATACAGGAAGGGCCTACAGGAAATCTTGAGAGGGACATTTACAAGGGTCTCTAGTGACAGGACAAGAGAAGGTGGTTTTAAACCGAAAGAAGGGAGATTTAGATTAGATATTAGGAAGAAATTCTTTATTGTAATGGTGGTGAAGCACTGGCACATGTTGCCCAGAGAAGCTGTGTCTGTCCCTGGATGGGGCTTTGAGCAACGTGATCAAGTGGAAGGTGTCGGTGCCTGTGTCAGGGGGGTTGGAACAAGATGATCTTTAAGGTCCCTTGCAATTCTAACCAATCTATGATTCTATGTTTCTATGATACCTAAGGGAGGTAAGAAGAGTCCTTCTGTGCCAGCTGAGGCAGGAGGGAGTCCCCAGTGTGAAGTCCTGGCCAGAAGGACGCCTTGGGAAGCCTCTGGGCAGACGTCCCTGCCACAGCTCCTCCACTGGCCACAGCCCCGCAGACTAGAATTGTTGCTTGTCCATGCCCACGCACCTGTGCTGCTCCACACACCCCTGCCCACTGTACGGGTGTACTGCGTGTCCCTGTCCCAGCGTTGGCTGTGGTGGGACTGCTGCAGGAGCCACTGTGGGCAGACATGGCCAGTCCCAGGCAGCCGCAATGGACCCACTGCAGGAGACAGCTAAGCGCACCCCTAAACCTTTTTAGGGTGAGACATACCCCAGGGCTCAGTAGCGGGTGCACTCCTGAAGGTTAACAACCTTCAGTAATGATGCAGATGATGAGGCAGAGCATGCCCCGAGCAAGTTCGCCAGTGCCACAGAACTGATGCACCAGCAGTCATGCTGCCCTACAGAGGGACTTCAGAAAGCAGGAAAAAAGGCTGAGCTTCAGTTTATCATGGAAGGAAAACTCTTGCAAGTGAAGGGGGAACAACCCATGAACCAGTGCATGCTGGTGTTCATGGTCATATCCAACACTAAATTGAACAAAGCAGAGCCCTGCACAGGCAGATTTTCTCTTACAAGCCTGAGGAGCAGGGATTTACGTGGGAGCCAGGGGTTCTCCTGATGGGGAGCACCAGCAGCCCCCATCTGATGGCCCTGACCCTCTGGCAGCCCCAAGCTCCAGGGGAGGTGGCTTCAGGCCTCCCTTGGGGCAGGATGACTCTGGTTCTGCAGGGCCGTGGGCACCAGGCGAGCCAGGCAGGCTTGGTGCAACCATGGTGTTGAAAGGCAGCACTGGAGGTACCCTCATCTTCTGCAGCACTGCTGTGGGCAGGCCCTTGCTGCCTGGGGCTCTGGGCCTGCTGAGATCTTGCCTGTGCGCTGATGGCTCCTCTCCGGGGAGGGGCAGACCCTTCTACTTTTGTAGAAGCCTTTCTCCTCACCATCCTGGTGAGAAACGAAGCCTGTCTGAGAGCTCAGGTACCCTCCTTCAGGTGCAGGAGTGTTGTCTGTCTGGGCACAACTCCTCCTGGAGGCAGCTGTGAGCAGTACGCCTGTCACTGGCACTCAGCCACCATCACTCTGCTGTGCACCCCCGTCCTCAGTAACATGCATGAGCATGCAGCTGAGCCAGGCAGGCCTGGTGCAAGCATGGGGTGAAAGGCAGCGCTGAACTTACGCTCTGTGCCTGCAGCACTGCAGCCGCAGCGTGCTGGCTCTTCGCAGCTGGTCCCCTGGTCCTCCTGAGAGAGGGCGCACCCATGGGAGGGAAAAGGCAGGACGCTATTTGGTGGGATACCCCCGTGCCGCCCAGCGTTCGGCTGATTGGTTGTAAAGTCCTTCTTTCTCCGTACGCCAGTGCTACAGGTATGCTCATGGGCCCCGTGGTTTTGTCCAACCTCTCTCTGCCGCGGACTGCAGTGTCTGCAGCGCTGCCTGCTTTCAGGAACGGCAAGCAGGAGCCCAGCACAACGAGAACTGTGTGTTCCGAGAGCCTAGACACCAGGATGGTCTGGGAAGCGCAAGCAAGAGTTTTTGTGGTGGCAACAGACTGCCAAGAGGGACCTTGGCCAGTGCTTAGCACAGAATGGCAGCAGCCCCTCTGTCGTGGTTTAAACCACGACACCCTCCCACAAGTGAGCACCTGATAGCAGCAAAAAGGCCTAGACCGTGGTGTGGGGGGTGCCAGCTCTCTGGTGGATGGAGGGCTGTGTCTGGGAGAGACAGGGAGCTGAGCCACCATTCTGCCCCTCCCCAGCAGTCAGGCTGCTCAGGTCTCAGATACCTCAGAAACCCCTCTTTGGTCCCAGACATCGCTGCTCCCATTGTGGGCCCCCACTATAGCCAGTCCCCCGAGCCAAGGTGTCCCCTGAATGGAATGGGCCTGTGCTTTGGGGATCATGGGCCCCAGACAATGCCAGGCTCTGAAGACTCCTTCCTAGGGCAAAGTGGGAGGCAGTCCTTGTGCCAAAGGATTTTGTCAAAGACCACAGGCGAGAAGAGGCTCTGAAAGCATGTCTCCCTGTGCTTCCAACATGGGGATGTTTCCTTTGGCTAGGAGGCATTGCTGTGGCGGAGAGAAAAAGGAAAGGCTGAGGAAGGCCTCAGCCTGCAACGGGCAGAAAGAAGTTGGCTGCTTTTGTTACCAAGGAGAGAGGCAATCTCGTTTTAGAACGTAAAGTTATAACTTTATTAAATTGAGCAAGCGATAGCAGATAAAAAAACAGCACCGGGTGAGCCGGAGAGACCCCGCTCCGCCCCAGACGCGCACGCCGGGTCACTGGGAGGCTGTCCCTCTCGGTTCAAGGCTTCAGCCAATCCTGCTGCTTCTTTTCGCTCGGATGCTGACGTGGGTCTTTTCTATCGCTTCCCTTTTGTGCTCAGGTTTCATCGTTGAGAAGCTGCAAGAAGTTTCCAGAGATTTCAAGAAACGCCCATTACCAGCCTCATCACAACTTCCATCCCTTATATGGTGCATATAACAAGATACAACTTCAAACTATCTAACCCTCCCTTTAAAGCGGCAACATCGGGGGACGTCCGTGGCCGCCCTTAAAGGGGCCGCGCCTCAGCGTCTTTTTTCCCACCCGTTTCTTTTCCCTCTCATAATCTTGTGTAATAATACAACTGACTTCCCTTTATAACTCACGAAGTACAATAGTTATGGAAAAGGAATATGTTTCCAGTTACAGAGAGTTTCTTAGAGTGTGGTAAGCAGTATTTCCCTATAAACCTTTTGATGAACAAACCCCACACATTACACTTTGACAGGGACACTGAAGTGACATTGCTGTGCACCAGACAAACAGTCACATCCCTCTGGTGTGTTCCTCCATTTTCCTCTTTAGTTCTTACTGAGGGAAGGTCTCCACGTCAGTCTTTCCGATCACATTTGTCTCCACCATCTTCCCATGCACCTGTACTTCCATTTTCCCCTTTAATTCTTATTGAGGGAAGATCTCCACATCAGTCTTTCCGAGCATGTCTCCAGCATCTTCCCATGCACCTGCACTTCCATTTTCCTCTTCAATTCTTATTGAGGGAAGGTCTCCACATCAGTCTTTCCAATCACGTCTGCACCATCTTCCCATGCACCTGCACTCGATAAATGCAGGTGTATGTTGGTTTACCCCAGTTGTTCTGTATGCTGAGTTTCAGAAGTCGAAAGGCTCTGGGGATGCCATTCTGCAAAGAAACTGCAGGAAAAAGCAGCGTCATTCCTGGGATGCAAAGAGTGAGAGCAGGCGCCACGTGTCTTCCCCTGCCAGCCAGACGCCTGCTCTGGGACCAGCTCCTGCTCTGGCAGAGGGAGCAGCTTCTCCCTCCTTCCCTTCTCCCACCCAGGAGGCAAAGGATTCCTGTGCCCTTGCAGAGCAAACAGCCAGCCTCAAGAGAGAATGCGGTGGGCAGCTGCGGGGACCTCAGGGTCACCTGTGCCAGGAAGCAGGACCAGGGGAAAAAGCCCTGCTGCCGGAGCACAATGCTGAGCATCTTCCTTGCCACCGCCTGCCCTGAAGGTGCTGACAGGCAGCTCTGGGCACCACAAGGTTCAGGCCCCTGTCCTGCCAGGGACTGTCCACTCTCCCCCTGCAAGCGATTTGCTAGCAAACTGGTGCTTCTGCCCTGGCCTCCTGCCCACGCGTACCCACTGTACCTGCAGAGGGAAGGTCTGAGTTGGCTCTTTCTGCACGCTGTAGAGGAAAGACCCCAGCAGAGTTTCGCCCTGGCCTTCCTCATCCAGTCCCTTGGAGATAAACGCACAGAAGAGCAGGTCAGGCTCAAGCTGACCATGAGCAAACGCTCATGCCAGATCTGGGCCCGTTATCTGCACCACAGTCCTGTGCCTCTGGTGCAGTCTGGCACAGAGGGAGACCCATGGGGCTGTGTCTCCTCCTCAGGGCCCTGAGGGTGCTGGGACAAAACGTGCTGAGCAAGCCTGTGAAATGTCCCCTCTAGGAAGGGCAGGGCTTGGGAGCACACACATCTCTGCAGACGCGCAGGGAACAGCAAGTGCTGGTTACAGCTTTACCCATGATCAGATCCCAGCCGCGAGCCCAGCGCAGACTTACAGAGACAGTGAAATCCTTGGGTGCACTACTGACAGTCACCAGTGAAGTGGCTGTCTTTGAGCAGTACTGTAAGGTGATGGCCGTTGGTTGTACTTCTGTGGGCAGTCGGATTAGCACTTCGCTCTGAGACTGTTGCATTTTCCAGCAGTACCCTGGGGAAGCATCAGGCTAAAAGCAGAGGGCAAGAGAAGTGAACGTGAGGGCTTCGCTCCCCGGCTTGCAGAAGCACAGGCAGCACTGTGCCCGGGGCTGTGCTTCTGGTGGAGATGCATGGTGTGTTGGGAAGCAGGAGGAAGCACCCGCTTTTTGTACGGAGCCAAACCCCACGTGGGTCTCAGCTGTCAGGCACCAGATCCTTGCCCTGCACCCGAGCAAGATCCCTGGCCTGACAGGAGATGACCCAGGGCTTGTCCCCAGCTTGATCCAGAGGGGCAAGAGAAGCAGCACTGACAGTTTCTGCTACTGTACCTGCACAAAGGTATCCTCAAAGGGTTGTCTAAACAGGGACCAAAACACCCTCCTGAGACATGCAGAGGTGCTGGATGATCTCTGCAGGTTGATGGTACACCCTGAGGGCAGAAGAGAGCAGCTGACTGCAACTGGCCCCAGGTGCAGAGGACCTGATGGCTGCAGGTGACTGCTAAGTCATGCAGCACTGGATGCTCAGAGGTGCCCCGGGAAACGCAGGGGATCCCTGCGCCTGGTGTTGGCATCTCTCTCCCAGCCGCACAAAGAGAAGATCTGTGGGTGCTGGGGGACAGTGAGCCCCCACGGCAAGGGCAGCAGACCCAAGCAAGGCCCTGCTGCGTGGACAGCAGAGGGTGATGCAGCCATATGCCTTCATTCTCCAGGAATGCTCCGCAGAGTGGGAGAGGGCAGAAATGCTGTCAGGGCATGGCCGAGGCAGCAGTGAGGGCTCTGGCAGCAGGGCTGGGGTGAGCCTGAGGGAGCCACATTGCTACAGTCATGCTCGTGGGCCCTGTGGTTTAGTCCCACTTCTGTCTCGGAGAGCAGTGTCTGCAGTGCTGCCTGCTTTCAGGAACGCCAAGCACGAGCCCAGCACAAGAACTGCCTGGACCCAAGGGCTGCCCATACCTGTGCTTTTGAGAGCCCAGTCAGGCACCTCCACGGGCTCAGATATTGCCTCTCTCATTTGCTGAACTTCCTGGGGAAGACACCAAGGAACAGGGAAACAACCATGTCAGAGCAGGCCAGGAGAAGGGGCTCTGCAGCGCAGAAGCTCAACCCGCAGCCCCTGGCAAGGGAGGGGTGTGTAGGCTGGGACGAGCGGGGCCCCCTGCACCAGGCGCTTCCTGGGCCAGCTGGTGGCCTTTTCCTGCCCAGCCCTCTTTCCAGAGTGCAGGTTCACCTTCTTTATAGAGCGGATTTCTGCAGCCAGATGTGTCACCTCATCCCTCAGCTTCTGCATCTCTCCCGCTTGTCCTTTCCACACATCAGGTGCGTTCCTGCAGTCATCAGGAAATGGGACCTTGTCAGATCACTGCCCAGCAATGCGCGGAGCCTCCAAGGCCAGGAATAGCACAGACAGTGATGTTTGAGCCCGTTTCTTTCCCTGGTTTACAAGCGCTTCCTTCCCCCTCCAGGTCTAGCACAAGGCCCGGACAGGAGCAGAAGACACGAGCTCTGGGCGCTGTGCAAGTGAGAGCAACACACACAGGCTCATCTGCCCTGCAGCACATTCCAAACACGTCTGCAGGGCTGGGGAGAGGAGAGGGCTCTTACCACAGTGAACTCAGGTCAGCTGCCTTCTGCCCCTGGAGGGAAAGGCTGCTCTCGTTAGAGTCCCACAGCAAACGGCGCTTCCCCCGAGCTGGCAGCTCTGGGAAGGCACAGCAGAAGCTGCTGCCGCTGCTTTGCGTCACTGCCTGGCAACGGAGGACCTGTTGAACCACCCACCCACCCATCGCCTGCAGAGCTCCCTGGCAGGACTTTCCTGTCCCACTGACCTGTGGCGCATTCTTTCCATGCAGCCGCCACATGAGCAGCGAGATCCCGCACCAGGCACCAGCTGTAACACCAACATGAGAGTCATTTTACTGCCGTTTCTAAAGATCCCCGTAGTGACACGGTCTCCTCCCACACCAGGGTGGCAAGAGGCTGGCCGAGGACACCACAAAGGGGTGCAGGAGAGGAGGTAGCTCCAAGCAGGGCCTCTTGCCCTGGGCCTCGGGGTGCTGCACAGCCCTGGTTCCAGGCTTTGCATCCCACTGCTATGCCCCATTTCATCCGCATGCAGCGAGCATCTTGTGACCTCCCAGATCCACAAAGGTGAGATGTTGTATGGGCCAAACTGGCCCTCAGTACCTCTCCCTCACACTGAAGCTGACCCCTCACTCCTCTGAGCCTCTGCTGGCGGCAGGTAAATACTAACCGAGAGCAGAGAGGCTCATCAAGCAGAAGATCATGAAGAACCCCTCGTTCCTGAAACAGAGAGTCCTGGGGTTAGCAGTGCTCAAGGCAGAGCCCTGCCCAGAGGAATTTCTCTTACCAGCTGACCAACAATTTGCAGGGGAGCCAGGGGTTCTCCTGCTGGGGAGCACCACCAGCTTCCCTTCTGACCACCCTGACCCTCTGGCACCCCCAAGCTCCACGTCAGTAATAGACACTTGTTGTACTCACAGGATGGAGATGCCTGTTCTGAGCTGTCTCTGAAGGAAGATCACGGCCCTTGCCATTCTGGAAGCAAGGCTGAATACCATCCCTGGGCAAAGAAATGGGAGAAAAGCCTGAGGAGCCTTTTTGAGGAGCCGCGTCTGGGGTATGGCCGACCCCTGTGAGGACATGGATGCTGGGCCTGCACACTTCCTTCCTGTGGGACTGGGACAGGGCAGGCTTATGCCCTGGAGGGGACAGCTTGTTTCTCGCCAGAGGCCCGGTAGGATCCCCTTGCAGGCAGGGCGCTGACAGCAAGGCTGGGGAAGGACTGTGGATGAGGCTTCGGGCCCTGCATCTCTACCGCACGGGGGTGCCCTGTGGTTATTACAGTAGCCCCATGGTTATTACAGACACAGTGGCCAGCTCCGTCATGGTCACATAGGCAGAATGGCCCCAGGCCGCTCCTGGAGCAGGATGGTACTGGCTGTTGGGGGCTGTTGGTCCCAGATGAGCCGGGCAGGCCTGGTGCAAGCATGGGGTGAAAGGCAGCGCTGAACTTACGCTCTGTGCCTGCAGCACTGCGGCCCGCAGCGTGCTGGCTCTTCGGAGCTGGTCCCCTGGTCCTCCTGAGAGGGGCGGCACCTATGGGACGGAAAAGGCAGGACACTGTTTGGCACTGCCTTCTGGCCTCATGAGCCAAGGCCCTGGCCAGAAGACAGGCCCATGGGCAGAGGGGAGCAGCTGCCCTCCTCCAAAGCCCCCTCTTCCTCCCAGGGCCTCTGCAGCTTCACAGCCAGAGCCCTCCAGCAGGAGAGTGGGGTTTGGCCCCAGGGGCCAGAGGGGCTTTCAGCTGGGCCTCTTCCCCACTCACAGTGGTTTTCCCAAGCCCTGGGACTGCTGTGCTGCCCACAGCGTTTGCCAGCTCCTCCGTCGTGTCCCCCCACCCCCTGCTGTAGGCTCTGGAGTCCTGACCCTCCAGCTGATGGTCCCAGGAGAAACCTTGTACCTGCTCCTGAGGACCTGAACGCGCCCAGCTGCACGTCTGTCCCTGCTGCTGCTGGCTGTCCTCACGCGGTCAGCGCGCTGCGCTCTTGGAGGAGACCTTCTCATCTTGGGGACAAAGGAAGCTCCCCTGCAAGCCTGTCTGTCCTCCTTCCGAAGCAGGAGTGTTGCCTGGCTGGGGGAGGGCACTTGGGCAAGAGCCCCAAACCAGCTGCCAGGAGGAGAACGCCAGACACAGGCACACAGCCACCAGGACACAGCTAACTCCCACCAGGCAGGAGGTGGTGTCTCACAGTTCAGGGACACACCCCGCTGCACACTTAATGCTCTGGGGTCCATTTGTGACTAGCCAGTGCCAAAAATACACCAGCGTTCCTCTGGTGCTGGCCTGTGCCTGCGCAGCTCAAGGCTTGTTTGGTTTCTCTCTGGGTGTCCCCCATTGAGTAGGCTGTGCGGGTAGGCAGGAGCTGGGACAGCCAAGCCAAACTGACTCAGCTCCATTCCATGCGGGGTCATGCTTTGAAATAGAGCCTCGGTCTTTGGTTTAACCCTGTCAGCTGAAGGTTCCCATGGGGAAGCAAAGGGGTGCTGCCTCTGGGTTACACCATGCTGGGGCTGGGGCTGCATGGGGCTTTGGCTTGCTCTGTCCCTCTGTCTCCACATTGTCATGGGGAGCTCCGGTCACCAAAGGGGCCCCAGGCATGTGCCAAGGGGCTGCCGCATGCTTCCACCTTCAGTGAGAGGCATGAGCACCCAGGACACCGCAGTGACTCCATATGGGCTGGCCCGTGCACCCCCGTGACTCCTCTGTCATGAGCCAGCCAATTCCTGTGAATCCATGCGTCTCCCGGTTTAGAGAGGGGCATGGATTTCATGGATGGACCGCTCAGTGGATAATTAACTGGGTGGATGGCCACACAAAGACAGTTGTGGTGAATGGCTCAATGTCCAGGTGGAGATGGGTAACAGGTGGTGTCCCTCAGGGATCAGTGTTGGGACCAATTCTGTTCAACATCTTTGACGATGACATGGAGAGCGGTATTGATGCGCCCTTAGCAAGTCTGCCGATGACACCAAGCTCTGTGGTGGGGTCGACACACTGGAGGGAAGGGATGTCATCCAGAGGGACCTAGACAGGTTGGAGAGGTGGGACAGTGCAGACCTCATGAAGTTCAACAAAGCCAAGTGCAAGTTCCTGCCCCAGGGCCGGGGCGATCCCAGGCACCACTATGGGCTGGGCAGAGACTGGATTGAGAGCAGCCCTGAGAAGAAAGACTTGGGGGTGTCTGTTGACAAGAAGCTCAAAATGACCCCATAGTGTCCATTTGCAAGCGAAACACCAACCGTATGCTGGGCCCCATCAAAAGGAGCATGACCAGCAGGTTGAGGGAGGTGATCCTGCCCCTCTGCTCTGCTCTTGTGAGATCCCACCTTGCAGTGGCACATCCAGCTCTGGGGCCCCCAAGCACAAGAGGTACATGGACGTGCTCAAGTGAGTCTAGAGGAGTCCAAGAAGATGATCACAGGGCTGGGGCACTTCTGCTATGGAGACAGGCTGAGAGAGTCAGGCGTGTTAAGGCTGGAGAGAGAAGGCTCTGGGGTAGCCTTCCAATACAGGAAGGGCCTACAGGAAATCTTGAGAGGGACATTTACAAGGGTCTCTAGTGACAGGACAAGAGAAGGTGGTTTTAAACTGAAAGAAGGGAGATTTAGATTAGATATTAGGAAGAAATTCTTTATTGTAATGGTGGTGAAGCACTGGCACATGTTGCCCAGAGAAGCTGTGTCTGTCCCTGGATGGGGCTTTGAGCAACGTGATCAAGTGGAAGGTGTCGGTGCCTGTGTCAGGGGGGTTGGAACAAGATGATCTTTAAGGTCCCTTGCAATTCTAACCAATCTATGATTCTATGTTTCTATGATACCTAGGGAGGTAAGAGAGTTCTTTCTGTGCCAGCTGAGGCAGGAGGGAGTCCCCAGTGTGAAGTCCTGGCCAGAAGGACGCCTTGGGAAGCCTCTGGGCAGACGTCCCTGCCACAGCTCCTCCACTGGCCACAGCCCCGCAGACTAGAATTGTTGCTTGTCCATGCCCACGCACCTGTGCTGCTCCACACACCCCTGCCCACTGTACTGGTGTACTGCGTGTCCCTGTCCCAGCGTTGGCTGTGGTGGGACTGCTGCAGGAGCCACTGTGGGCAGACATGGCCAGTCCCAGGCAGCCGCAATGGACCCACTGCAGGAGACAGCTAAGCGCACCCCTAAACCTTTTTAGGGTGAGACATACCCCAGGGCTCAGTAGCGGGTGCACTCCTGAAGGTTAACAACCTTCAGTAATGATGCAGATGATGAGGCAGAGCATGCCCCGAGCAAGTTCGCCAGTGCCACAGAACTGATGCACCAGCAGTCAGTGCTGCCCTACAGAGGGACTTCAGAAAGCAGGAAAAAAAGGCTGAGCTTCAGTTTATCATGGAAAGAAAACTCTTGCAAGTGAAGGGGAACAACCCATGAACCAGTGCATGCTGGTGTTCATGGTCATATCCAACACTAAATTGAACAAAGCAGAGCCCTGCACAGGCAGATTTTCTCTTACAAGCCTGAGGAGCAGGGATTTACGTGGGAGCCAGGGGTTCTCCTGATGGGGAGCACCAGCAGCCCCCATCTGATGGCCCTGACCCTCTGGCAGCCCCAAGCTCCAGGGGAGGTGGCTTCAGGCCTCCCTTGGGGCAGGATGACTCTGGTTCTGCAGGGCCGTGGGCACCAGGCGAGCCAGGCAGGCTTGGTGCAACCATGGTGTTGAAAGGCAGCACTGGAGGTACCCTCATCTTCTGCAGCACTGCTGTGCGCAGGCCCTTGCTGCCTGGGGCTGTGGGCCTGCTGAGATCTTGCCTGTGCGCTGATGGCTCCTCTCCGGGGAGGGGCAGACCCTTCTACTTTTGTAGAAGCCTTTCTCCTCACCATCCTGGTGAGAAACGAAGCCTGTCTGAGAGCTCAGGTACCCTCCTTCAGGTGCAGGAGTGTTGTCTGTCTGGGCACAACTCCTCCTGGAGGCAGCTGTGAGCAGTACGCCTGTCACTGGCACTCAGCCACCATCACTCTGCTGTGCACCCCCGTCCTCAGTAACATGCATGAGCATGCAGCTGAGCCAGGCAGGCCTGGTGCAAGCATGGGGTGAAAGGCAGCGCTGAACTTACGCTCTGTGCCTGCAGCACTGCAGCCGCAGCGTGCTGGCTCTTCGCAGCTGGTCCCCTGGTCCTCCTGAGAGAGGGCGCACCCATGGGAGGGAAAAGGCAGGACGCTATTTGGTGGGATACCCCCGTGCCGCCCAGCGTTCGGCTGACTGGTTGTAAAGTCCTTCTTTCTCCGTACGCCAGTGCTACAGGTATGCTCATGGGCCCCGTGGTTTTGTCCAACCTCTCTCTGCCGCGGACTGCAGTGTCTGCAGCGCTGCCTGCTTTCAGGAACGGCAAGCAGGAGCCCAGCACAACGAGAACTGTGTGTTCCGAGAGCCTAGACACCAGGATGGTCTGGGAAGCGCAAGCAAGAGTTTTTGTGGTGGCAACAGACTGCCAAGAGGGACCTTGGCCAGTGCTTAGCACAGACGGGCAGCCCCTCTGTCGTGGTTTAAACCACGACACCCTCCCACAAAGTGAGCACCTGATAGCAGCAAAAAGGCCTAGACCGTGGTGTGGGGGGTGCCAGCTCTCTGGTGGGATGGAGGGCTGTGTCTGGGAGAGACAGGGGAGCTGAGCCACCATTCTGCCCCTCCCCAGCAGTCAGGCTGCTCAGGTCTCAGATACCTCAGAAACCCCTCTTTGGTCCCAGACATCGCTGCTCCCATTGTGGGCCCCCACTATAGCCAGTCCCAAGAGCCAAGGTGTCCCCTGAATGGAATGGGCCTGTGCTTTGGGGATCATGGGCCCCAGACAATGCCAGGCTCTGAAGACTCCTTCCTAGGGCAAAGTGGGAGGCAGTCCTTGTGCCAAAGGATTTTGTCAAAGACCACAGGCGAGAAGAGGCTCTGAAAGCATGTCTCCCTGTGCTTCCAACATGGGGATGTTTCCTTTGGTTAGGAGACATTGCTGTGGTGGAGAGAAAAAGGAAAGGCTGAGGAAGGCCTCAGCCTGCAACGGGCAGAAAGAAGTTGGCTGCTTTTGTTACCAAGGAGAGAGGCAATCTCGTTTTAGAACGTAAAGTTATAACTTTATTAAATTGAGCAAGCGATAGCAGATAGAAAAAACAGCACTGGGTGAGCCGGAGAGACCCCGCTCCGCCCCAGACGCGCACGCCGGGTCACTGGGAGCCTGTCCTTCTCGGTTCAAGGCTTCAGCCAATCCTGCTGCTTCTTTTCGCTCGGATGCTGACGTGGGTCTTTTCCATCGCTTCCCTTTTGTGCTCAGGTTTCATCGTTGAGAAGCTGCGAGAAGTTTCCAGAGATTTCAAGAAACGCCCATTACCAGCCTCATCACAACTTCCATCCCTTATATGGTGCATATAACAAGATACAACTTCAAACTAGCTAACCCTCCCCTTAAAGCGGCAACATCGAAGGAAGTCCGCGGCCGCCCTTAAAGGGGCCGCGCCTCAGCGTCTTTTTTCCCACCCGTTTCTTTTCCCTCTCATAATCTTGTGTAATAATACAACTGACTTCCCTTTATAACTCACGAAGTACAATAGTTATGGAAAAGGAATATGTTTCCAGTTACAGAGAGTTTCTTAGAGTGTGGTAAGCAGTATTTCCCTATAAACCTTTTGATGAACAAACCCCACACATTACACTTTGACAGGGACACTGAAGTGACATTGCTGTGCACCAGACAAACAGTCACATCCCTCTGGTGTGTTCCTCCATTTTACTTTTTAATACTTACTGAGGGAAGGTCTCCACGTCAGTCTTTCCGACCACATTTGTCTCCACCATCTTCCCATGCTCCTGCACTTCCATTTTCCTCTTCAATTCTTACTGAGGGAAGGTCTCCACGTCAGTCTTTCCAATCACGTCTCCACCATCTTCCCATGCTCCTGCACTTCCATTTTCCTCTTCAGTTCTTACTGAGGGAAGGTCTCCACATCAGTCTTTCCGACCACATTTGTCTCCACCATCTTCCCATGCACCTGCACTTCCATTTTCCTCTTCAATTCTTATTGAGGGAAGGTCTCCACATCAGTCTTTCCAATCACGTCTGCACCATCTTCCCATGCACCTGCACTCGATAAATGCTGGTGTATGTTGGTTTACCCCAGTTGTTCTGTATGGTGAGTTTCAGAAGTCGAAAGGCTCTGGGGATGCCATTCTGCAAAGAAACCACAGCAAAAAGCAGCGTCATTCCTGGGATGCAAAGAGTGAGAGCAGGCGCCACGTGTCTTCCCCTGCCAGCCAGACGCCTGCTCTGGGACCAGCTCCTGCTCTGGCAGAGGGAGAAGCTTCTCCCTCCTTCCCTTCTCCCACCCAGGAGGCAAAGGATTCCTGTGCCCTTGCAGAGCAAACAGCCAGCCTCAAGAGAGAATGCGGTGGGCAGCTGCGGGGACCTCAGGGTCACCTGTGCCAGGAAGCAGGACCAGGGGAAAAAGCCCTGCTGCCGGAGCACAATGCTGAGCATCTTCCTTGCCACCGCCTGCCCTGAAGGTGCTGACAGGCAGCTCTGGGCACCACAAGGTTCAGGCCCCTGTCCTGCCAGGGACTGTCCACTCTCCCCCTGCAAGCGATTTGCTAGCAAACTGGTGCTTCTGCCCTGGCCTCATGCCCACGCGTACCCACTGTACCTGCAGAGGGAAGGTCTGAGTTGGCTCTTTCTGCACGCTGTAGAGGAAAGACCCCAGCAGAGTTTCGCCCTGGCCTTCCTCATCCAGTCCCTTGGAGATAAACGCACAGAAGAGCAGGTCAGGCTCAAGCTGACCATGAGCAAACGCTCATGCCAGATCTGAGCCCATTATCTGCACCACACTTCTGCGTCTCTGGTGCAGTCTGGCACAGAGGTAGAGCCATGGGGCTGTGTCTCCTCCTCAGGGCCCTGGAGGTGCTGGGCCAAAACGTGCTGAGCAAGCCTGTGAAATGTCCCCTCTAGGAAGGGCAGGGCTTGGGAGCACACACATCTCTGCAGACGCGCAGGGAACAGCAAGTGCTGGTTACAGCTTTACCCATGATCAGATCCCAGCCGCGAGCCCAGCGCAGACTTACAGAGACAGTGAAATCCTTGGGTGCACTACTGACAGTCACCAGTGGAGTGGCTGTCTTTGAGCAGTACTGTAAGGTGATGGCCGTTGGTTGTACTTCTGTGGGCAGTCGGATTAGCACTTTGCTCTGAGACTGTTGCATTTTCCAGCAGTACCCTGGGGAAGCATCAGGCTAAAAGCGTGGACAGCAGAGGGTGATGCAGCCATACGCCTTCATTCTCCAGGAATGCTCCGCAGAGTGGGAGAGGGCAGAAATGCTGTCAGGGGCATGGCCGAGGCAGCAGTGAGGGCTCTGGCAGCAGGGCTGGGGTGAGCCTGAGGGAGCCACATTGCTACAGTCATGCTCGTGGGCCCCGTGGTTTAGTCCCACTTCTGTCTCGGAGAGCAGTGTCTGCAGTGCTGCCTGCTTTCAGGAACGCCAAGCACGAGCCCAGCACAAGAACTGCCTGGACCCAAGGGCTGCCCATACCTGTGCTTTTGAGAGCCCAGTCAGGCACCTCCACGGGCTCAGATATTGCCTCTCTCATTTGCTGAACTTCCTGGGGAAGACACCAAGGAACAGGGAAACAACCATGTCAGAGCAGGCCAGGAGAAGGGGCTCTGCAGCGCAGAAGCTCAACCCGCAGCCCCTGGCAAGGGAGGGGTGTGTAGGCTGGGACGAGCGGGGCCCCCTGCACCAGGCGCTTCCTGGGCCAGCTGGTGGCCTTTTCCTGCCCAGCCCTCTTTCCAGAGTGCAGGTTCGCCTTCTTTATAGAGCAGATTTCTGCAGCCAGATGTGTCACCTCATCCCTCAGCTTCTGCATCTCTCCCGCTTGTCCTTTCCACACATCAGGTGCGTTCCTGCAGTCATCAGGAAATGGGACTTTGTCAGATCACTGCCCAGCAATGCGCGGAGCCTCCAAGGCCAGGAATAGCACAGACAGTGATGTTTGAGCCCGTTTCTTTCCCTGGTTTACAAGCGCTTCCTTCCCCCTCCAGGTCTAGCACAAGGCCCGGACAGGAGCAGAAGACACGAGCTCTGGGCGCTGTGCAAGTGAGAGCAAATAGCACAGGCTCATCTGCCCGTGCTATCCCCACCAAACACGCTGCAGGGCTGGGGAGAGGAGAGGGCTCTTACCACAGTGAACTCAGGTCAGCTGCAGGCTGCCCATGGAAGGGAAAGGCTCTCGTTGGAGTCCCACAGCAAACGGCGCTTCCCCGAGCTGGCAGCTCTGGGAAGGCACAGCAGAAGCTGCTGCCGCTGCTTTGCGTCACTGCCTGGCAACGGAGGACCGGGTGGTTCACCCACCCACCCACCCATCGCCTGCAGAGCTCCCTGGCAGGACTTTCCTGTCCCACTGACCTGTGGCGCATTCTTTCCATGCAGCCGCCACATGAGCAGCGAGATCCCGCACCAGGCACCAGCTGTAACACCAACATGAGAGTCATTTTACTGCCGTTTCTAAAGATCCCCGTAGTGACACGGTCTCCTCCCACACCAGGGTGGCAAGAGGCTGGCCGAGGACACCACAAAGGGGTGCAGGAGAGGAGGTAGCTCCAAGCAGGGCCTCTTGCCCTGGGCCTCGGGGCGCTGCACAGCCCTGGTTCCAGGCTTTGCATCCCACTGCTATGCCCCATTTCATCCGCATGCAGCGAGCATCTTGTGACCTCCCAGATCCAGGAAGGTGAGATGTTGTATGGGCCAAACAGGCCCTCAGTACCTCACACTGAAGCTGACCCCTCACTCCTCTGAGCCTCTGCTGGCGGCAGGTAAATACTAACCGAGAGCAGAGAGGCTCATCAAGCAGAAGATCATGAAGAACCCCTCGTTCCTGAAACAGAGAGTCCTGGGGTTAGCAGTGCTCAAGGCAGAGCCCTGCCCAGAGGAATTTCTCTTACCAGCTGACCAACAATTTGCAGGGGAGCCAGGGGTTCTCCTGCTGGGGAGCACCACCAGCTTCCCTTCTGACCACCCTGACCCTCTGGCACCCCCAAGCTCCACGTCAGTAATAGACACTTGTTGTACTCACAGGATGGAGATGCCTGTTCTGAGCTGTCTCTGAAGGAAGATCACGGCCCTTGCCATTCTGGAAGCAAGGCTGAATACCATCCCTGGGCAAAGAAATGGGAGAAAAGCCTGAGGAGCCTTTTTGAGGAGCCGCGTCTGGGGTATGGCCGACCCCTGTGAGGACATGGATGCTGGGCCTGCACACTTCCTTCCTGTGGGACTGGGACAGGGCAGGCTTATGCCCTGGAGGGGACAGCTTGTTTCTCGCCGGAGGCCCGGTAGGATCCCCTTGCAGGCAGGGCGCTGACAGCAAGGCTGGGGAAGGACTGTGGATGAGGCTTCGGGCCCTGCATCTCTACCGCACGGGGGTGCCCTGTGGTTATTACAGTAGCCCCATGGTTATTACAGACACAGTGGCCAGCTCCGTCATGGTCACATAGGCAAAATGGCCCCAGGCCGCTCCTGGAGCAGGATGGTACTGGCTGTTGGGGGCTGTTGGTCCCAGATGAGCCAGGCAGGCCTGGTGCAAGCATGGGGTGAAAGGCAGCACTGAACTTACGCTCTGTGCCTGCAGCACTGCAGCCGCAGCGTGCTGGCTCTTCGGAGCTGGTCCCCTGGTCCTCCTGAGAGGGGCGGCACCTATGGGACGGAAAAGGCAGGACACTGTTTGGCACTGCCTTCTGGCCTCATGAGCCAAGGCCCTGGCCAGAAGACAGGCCCATGGGCAGAGGGGAGCAGCTGCCCTCCTCCAAAGCCCCCTCTTCCTCCCAGGGTCTCTGCAGCTTCACAGCCAGAGCCCTCCAGCAGGAGAGTGGGGTTTGGCCCCAGGGGCCAGAGGGGCTTTCAGCTGGGCCTCTTCCCCACTCACAGTGGTTTTCCCAAGCCCTGGGACTGCTGTGCTGCCCACAGCGTTTGCCAGCTCCTCCGTCGTGTCCCCCCACCCCCTGCTGTAGGCTCTGGGGTCCTGACCCTCCAGCTAATGGTCCCAGGAGGAACCTTGTACCTGCTCCTGAGGACCTGAACGCGCCCAGCTGCACGTCTGTCCCTGCTGCTGCTGGCTGTCCTCACGCGGGCAGCGCGCTGCGCTCTTGGAGGAGACCTTCTCATCTTGGGGACAAAGGAAGCTCCCCTGCAAGCCTGTCTGTCCTCCTTCCGAAGCAGGAGTGTTGCCTGGCTGGGGGAGGGCACTTGGGCAAGAGCCCCAAACCAGCTGCCAGGAGGAGAACGCCAGACACAGGCACACAGCCACCAGGACACAGCTAACTCCCACCAGGCAGGAGGTGGTGTCTCACAGTTCAGGGACACACCCCACTGCACACTTAGTGCTCTGGGTTCCATTTGTGACTAGCCAGTGCCAAAAATACACCAGCGTTCCTCTGGTGCTGGCCTGTGCCTGCGCAGCTCAAGGCTTGTTTGGTTTCTCTCTGGGTGTCCCCCATTGAGTAGGCTGTGCGGGTAGGCAGGAGCTGGGACAGCCAAGCCAAACTGACTCAGCTCCATTCCATGCGGGGTCATGCTTTGAAATAAAGCCTCGGTCTTTGGTTTAACCCTGTCAGCTGAAGGTTCCCATGGGGAAGCAAAGGGGTGCTGCCTCTGGGTTACACCATGCTGGGGCTGGGGCTGCATGGGGCTTTGGCTTGCTCTGTCCCTCTGTCTCCACATTGTCATGTGGAGCTCCGGTCACCAAAGGGGCTCCAGGCATGTGCCAAGGGGCTGCTGCGTGCTTCCACCCTCAGTGAGAGGCATGAGCACCCAGGACACCGCAGTGACTCCATATGGGCTGGCCCGTGCACCCCCGTGACTCCTCTGGCATGAGCCAGCCAATTCCTGTGAATCCATGCGTCTCCCGGTTTAGAGAGGGGCATGGATTTCATGGATGGACCGCTCAGTGGATAATTAACTGGGTGGATGGCCACACAAAGACAGTTGTGGTGAATGGCTCAATGTCCAGGTGGAGATGGGTAACAGGTGGTGTCCCTCAGGGATCAGTGTTGGGACCAATTCTGTTCAACATCTTTGACGATGACATGGAGAGCGGTATTGATGCGCCCTTAGCAAGTCTGCCGATGACACCAAGCTGTGTGGTGGGGTCGACACACTGGAGGGAAGGGATGTCATCCAGAGGGACCTAGACAGGTTGGAGAGGTGGGACAGTGCAGACCTCATGAAGTTCAACAAAGCCAAGTGCAAGTTCCTGCCCCAGGGCCGGGGCGATCCCAGGCACCACTATGGGCTGGGCAGAGACTGGATTGAGAGCAGCCCTGAGAAGAAAGACTTGGGGGTGTCTGTTGACAAGAAGCTCAAAATGACCCCATAGTGTCCATTCGCAACCAAAACACCAACCGTATGCTGGGCCCCATCAAAAGGAGCATGACCAGCAGGTTGAGGGAGGTGATCCTGCCCCTCTGCTCTGCTCTTGTGAGATCCCACCTTGCAGTGGCACATCCAGCTCTGGGGCCCCCAAGCACAAGAGGTACATGGACGTGCTCAAGTGAGTCTAGAGGAGTCCAAGAAGATGATCACAGGGCTGGGGCACTTCTGCTATGGAGACAGGCTAAACCGAAAGAAGGGAGATTTAGATTAGATATTAGGAAGAAATTCTTTATTGGAAAGGTGGTGAAGCACTGGCACATGTTGCCCAGAGAAGCTGTGTGTGTCCCTGGATGGGGCTTTGAGCAACGTGATCAAGTGGAAGGTGTCGGTGCCTGTGTCAGGGGGGTTGGAACAAGATGATCTTTAAGGTCCCTTGCAATTCTAACCAATCTATGATTCTATGTTTCTATGATACCTAAGGGAGGTAAGAAGAGTCCTTCTGTGCCAGCTGAGGCAGGAGGGAGTCCCCAGTGTGAAGTCCTGGCCAGAAGGACGCCTTGGGAAGCCTCTGGGCAGACGTCCCTGCCACAGCTCCTCCACTGGCCACAGCCCCGCAGACTAGAATTGTTGCTTGTCCATGCCCACGCACCTGTGCTTCTCCACACACCCCTGCCCACTGTACTGGTGTACTGCGTGTCCCTGTCCCAGCATTGGCTGTGGTGGGACTGCTGCAGGAGCCACTGTGGGCAGACATGGCCAGTCCCAGGCAGCCGCAATGGACCCACTGCAGGAGACAGCTAAGCGCACCCCTAAACCTTTTTAGGGTGAGACATACCCCAGGGCTCAGTAGCGGGTGCACTCCTGAAGGTTAACAACCTTCAGTAATGATGCAGATGATGAGGCAGAGCATGCCCTGAGCAAGTTCGCCAATGCCACAGAACTGATGCACCAGCAGTCATGCTGCCCTACAGAGGGACTTCAGAAAGCAGGAAAAAAGGCTGAGCTTCAGTTTATCATGGAACAAAAACTCTTGCAAGTGAAGGGGGAACAACCCATGAACCAGTGCATGCTGGTGTTCATGGTCATATCCAACACTAAAGTGAACAAAGCAGAGCCCTGCACAGGCAGATTTTCTCTTACAAGCCTAAGGAGCAGGGATTTACATGGGAGCCAGGGGTTCTCCTGATGGGGAGCACCAGCAGCCTCCATCTGATGGCCCTGACCCTCTGG